TATTAAGAAAAACAAGCCAATAATTAAGCCCCACCCATCACAATTGTGATGATTTTTACCATTTGTTGTCAAAATATAAACTATATACATTAAGAAAAAGAAGTCAATGATTAAGCCCCACCCACCCGCCCATGTCTCAATTGTGATGAATTTTTTTATTCGTCGTCAGCTGGTGGGCGGAGCTTAAATGCAAAATCTCTATTTCTTTAAAGAAGAAATGGCCATGTGAAACGTCACCCAGGTTGCCAGATCTACTTTTGAGAAAATAGGAATATGCATTCCCTATTTTGACTCAAAATATTCTATTTTCGAGAATACGATCAAACATGTTTCACTTGGTAATTTTTTGTACAGAAATATGGACTTCGTAATTAAGCTCCGCCCGATCCGTCTCATAACGAATCAAAAAAATTATCACAAGAGATTAGGGCGGGTGGGTGGGGCATATTGGCGTCTTTTTTTAACATATACAGTTTTCTTGCACAACACGATACTTAAATCATGTTTAACATGGTAATTTCTTGTAGAGAAATATGACCTTTGTAAATAAGCTCCGCCCCCCGTCTAACGACGAATAAAAAAAGTAATCGCGATTGTAGTAGGGCGGGTGGACGTTGTTATATTTAGCTTTTTTTTAATATACCTAGTTTTTTTTTCATAACAAAATACTTCACACATATCTAAAACAGTTAATTTTTGTTGACAAATATGATTTTGCAATTAAGCTCCGCCCCTCGATCTGACGACAAATGAAAAATTCACCACAATTGAGACCGGGGTGGGTGGGTGGGGCTTTGTCATTCGCTTCTTTTTGTACTTAGTTTGTGATTAATTTTTCATTTGTTTTCAGATCAAGGGGCGGGGCTTAATTGCAAAATTTATATTTGATTCTCTAAAAAGATTATTAAAGAATCTCGGGGGTTCCGAGTGTGTTTGTTAAGAAGAGTATGAAGGAATCTCAGGGGCCACAAGTGTCAATTAACTTTTTATTTAGGCTCCGCCCCTCCATCCCACGACGAATAAGAAAATTAATCACAATTAAAATGGGGCGGGTGGGTGGGGCTTCGTAGCCAACCACTTTCTTTTCGTAATAGACAATCTTCTTTCAAGAGTAAAATATGTACTTAAATGATGAATTTGACGATTAAGAAAAATCTCAATTGTGACGAATTTTTTATTCGTTAGGAGATCGAGGGGCGGAGTTTAAATGCAAAATCCATATGTTCGAGGCATGGTCGTATTGGAGAAAATAGACCCTTATGAGAAAAATCGGGAATGGATATTTTTATCCTCTCAAAAGCAAAACATCGAGAGAAAAAGAAAAAACTATACAAAAATAAAAAGTTTAATATACACAACGTAGAGATCGGTGGATCTGGCAACACTGGTGACGCAGCTGGAGATAATTATAACCTCAAATTGACCATTTAAAATGTTAGGTATTTAAATGTTGAAAGAAGAATGTCTACATTACGAAAATAAAGTCGAAGGATAAGCCCCACCCACCCGCCCGATCTCAATTGTAACGAATTTCTTATTCGTTATCAAATCGAGGGGCGGAGCTTAAATGCACAGTCCATATGTCTGAGGCATGATCGTATTGTAAAAAATAGACCATTTTAGAAAAAATATATACTGAATATTCTTTTTTTCTCAAAAGCAAAAGTACACAAAAAAAAACACTTTTCTGTATGTTTATAGTGTAAATTGGTGGACTGTGGAACACTGGTGACTCAGCTGGACGTAATTTTAACCTCAAATTAACCATTTAATATTTCACGTATTTTATTGTTTTGACCCCACCGGTCTCAATCGTGATGAATTTTTTATTCGTTGCGAGACCGAGGGGCGGAGCTTAACAACAAAGTCCATATTTACGTACCAAGTGATACATGTATTATCGCATTATTGACAAATATTGAAAAAAACTACACAAATAAAACAAGCGTAAACCAATAGATCCGACAACCCCGCTCGCCCGTTTTCGGCGCGCCGCTCGCCCGTTACTGTGCACCGGAAATAGTTTCGTTTTCGCGTCGTCCGGTTGGCACTACGCGCCTAAAATTTTCGGACCCCAGTAGGCTTCGAATTGCGATTTTCGGCCTTGACATTTCTCCCTCCGCCGACTTTGCTCCCAAACAAAACCTCATCGATCCACACGAAAATAACATTTATTAATCACTTCATTTGACATCAAACCTCATGGCAATTATGGTTTGCTAATAGATTTCGTATCGTCAGTGAACCCAATTATTATCGATCTCAGACGCGCCCTAATGCTAAATCATCAAGGTTAGTGACCCAAAGACGTCGCCGGCGCTCATGTAGAATTGTAGATGATGCGGGGCTTTCTTTTTTTTTCCTTTTCGGGACGCAATTATCGTATCTTTGTTTTATCGTAATCTGAGCTGACGAATGTCAGCCGGCTTATCGAAGGCTGAATTAGGCGATAAAAATAGACGAGATAATCGAGTTTCGCAAATGTGACGAGCTCGAAATTTAAGAACCGACGAGAACACGTGTATTGATTGCTAGTTCTTGAGGTTTGCGAGTCGGAAAGTGGGTGGCATTTGACTCACGTTCCGTAGGAGTGTTCGTGTGTGCGGTGGATGCAGTCGCTGGAAAGCGAACTGCGAAAAAAACAAGCTTTTGGGGAGTTTAATGCGGGGTTGGCAACGCGAAATAACATAACCTCAAACCCCAATTGTGTCGGAAGTGATTTTTCAGCTGCGTGAACCTGTCTTTGATCTGTCACCAGAACCCAACGACTTCGTATTTACTTGTATCAATCCCGACACCACTGTTCAACTGGTTTCACGTTACAAGAGTAACAAGTGCACAACAAAAGAACAAAAACGAGGTTAGGTTACTCGATTGTCAAAAATCACCTCTATAAATATCACAATAGTAAAATTTACGCAAAGATTACATTTTTGACACCATCACGACCACCAACGTGATAAAGATCTAATCATTTACTTTCAAAATAACCTCAAACGCGTTTCACACTATCACGAACTTCGAGTGTCACATTTATGTGTAAACTACCCACACAAAAATAACTAAATCGGTTCTAAAAATGAAACAATGCTCACTCTTTTGTTTCGGGTTAAAACGTGCTCCGCACCTGTCACTTTTGACACATGAACTTAGTCACCAAGGTTGGTACCGCACTTACTAAAAAAGCTCCTCGATTCATCACCTTTAATAATACCCGAGACAGTTGGCAGCGCCGCGACTCAAGATAGACGGCTAAATTATCACCGTACGTTTTGACACTTTTTCACTGTTGTAAACTCGACCCAGTTCCAATCAAAGCGCACTTACGTCACGTGACAAACGATCGGAAACAATTGCATGTTTTGACAGCTTCGACCGCATAATAACAACAATCCCCTAAACCCTTTTCACACTACAACATTTTGCAATCCTAATACGATTAGCGTTTTTGTCTGAAGGTTGGCAATCCGTGCGCCGCCTACTATTAGCGCGTCAAGAAGGCGGTACTTAACCCTCACAGGGGGGTACTACTTGAAAACGGATAAAAGGGAAACCGCAACCATTACTTTCGCTCGCATGGGCGAAATAGCCCGCGGGAACAAGAGTAGTCAGTCAAGCCACAATCACACGAGTTAATCGCGGAATAAACAACTGTCATTCTAACTTTTCAATTACCAATGTCATCCGAAGAGCTTTTCGAGTGCGAACTTGTCCCAAAAAAATCAGGTTTACTACATCTGGAAGAGTGTTTACTTACAGCGTTTGCACAATTTTGAACCAACAGGTTCTTAGATCTACCACAACTGGCCCGATTTACACCGAAAAACGCGGCCAACCTTGAACTGCTTTAGCGCAAATGTCGTTAATTGAAAAGTCGCGAGTGTAAATTTGGGGTTATGTTGACTAAACCGTCGATGTAGAAATGGCGGTGCAGAAGCACGTTTTAATCCAAAACAAAAGCTCAGGTGGGAATAAGTGAGGTTAATGGCCGCGGTAAGTTTTCAAAATGGCACTTACGCGCTTCGAAATCTAGTAAACACATAACCTCAAATAGATACAACGCAAGGAAGCGAGTGTAATTTTGGCGCGGTGTTTGTTTTGTTGTTGCCAATTATCAAAAATTCGTGGTTTGTTTTTATTAATAACCGCATTGTTTTGGGTGACGCTAACTTCAAACGAGTGCAAACACACGTTTCGAATTAGTCAAAGTGTCAAAACGGAGCGTCATTTGAGTTGTGTGAACCTGACTTTTCTATAATCTATGGATGATTGCGTGATTGTCAAAATTGACGGTGACAAGTTATGCAAAATAACCTCAAATTTGCGCGACAAGTGTCCGAAGACGTTTTACACCGACCAAAATTTCGAGTGTCGTATTTGTTTCTGTGTAACTACCCACACAGAAATAACTAAATCTGTTCTATTTTAATCATTCCGTTGCACTGATGATTCCTGAAAGTTTCTTCGAGCGTCGACAGTCAAACAATGCCGAGTCTTTTGTTTCGGATTAAAACGTGCTTCTCCACCTGTCAGTTTTGACGTGTGACATTAGACACTAAACACCGTCAAGGTTGGTAACGTGCATATTAAAAAAAGTTTCTCTATTCATCACTTTTAATAATATCCGAGACAGTTGGCAGCGAGGCAACAAGATCGGGTTCGAAATAATCAGCGTACGTTTTGACAGTTTTTCAGTGTAAACTCGACCCAATTCCAATCAAAGAAAAACAAAACGGTTGTCGGGGAGACGTGACAAGACGATAAGAAAAGTGAGTCAGGTTCACACGACACTTTTTTTTTTTCGTTGTATTTTCGAATTTTATAATTTCGCGATATTAAGACGCTTCGTATTTGTCTGTTTTTATCACTCCCGCAACCTTGAACCGCTTTCCCGATTTTTCGTCTCGAAAGTTGGTAATCCGGCGGCCGCCTACTGGATGCCCGCTCGCCATTGCGGCACCTCCTAGTACCGTCTCTGGTCTCAACGAAGCGGTACTCACCCTCTCCGCTGTAATCCACAAAGACACACCGTAATCCAAATCACTGTCACTCGCACTTCACAAAGAGTAGCGAAAATGGCACTCGCACCACCTCGATCGGTTCTGCCGCCCAAAATAGCCCAGCGGCGGCGACGTGGCAGCGATGGCAGGAACCAAAATAGTCACACACCACAATCACACCGAGTTATCGTCGAGTAAACACAGCGTAGTCACAGTGCACGGCGGCGCATCGCGGGGGCGGGGGGCTGCTAGGGCGCGAGCGGGGTAGGCCGAGAGACGTCCATGGCTGGGCGCGACGCTTCACTCAAAAATTACACTTTTGTCGGTTGGCGGCGCGAGCGACACGGAGGCGACGGCTGCGAGACCTCGAATGAGCGGAGCAGGCGACGAGGAAAACAACGCGGCGGTGGGGGCTGGAGTGGGGGCCGACGACCGAAGCGACGGTAAAACCACTTTGTAGCTGCTGCTCACGTGAGGCGGAGGAGGAAATGCCGGGATGATGGAGGGAGGTGGCAGGTTGCTGGAGGTGCAAGTGTGCAGGATGCAGGAGGCGGTGGGAATTCGCGGCTGCGACTCTGTTTTGGCCGTCTTGGGTTTTTTACTTTTATTCATTTCAAGGTTGGCGATTTTGCACTGCGATTCGGGGAAGTGTCAAAAGGATGCGCGGCGTTTATGAGTTAATAAGAATTGTTATGTTTCGCGTAATTGGGAGATCATTGGATACCGGGAACTTGGGTATTGACTTTTTCTAATAAAAGAGCTTCAAGGTGAAGGTTTTCGTGGGAGGATGGTGCAAGAAATGTCAACCCTACACTGTTATTATCACCGAGTATTGACGATTCGCCTCAAGTTTTCTATTGTGTTGAGACTGTAACAACTGTGAAAAATAAAAACACCGTCTCTTCTACTTTAATTAAACCACATTTAAACGTCAAATCCAGAAAAATAACCGATTTACCAGCGCAGTTCATCAACATGTCAAATTTACGATGACAGCATAAACAACAAGTGAAACTTTCTCAAAAACTGCACCTGTCATTTTAATTTTAAAATCCATGTTTAAATGTCAATTTTACACCGTAATTATTCAAAGTTGAGAGTTTGTTAGAAGTTCTCTTATAAAATATATGAATATTTCTACGACGTAAATTGAAAGTTTGCTTAAAAGGGACGCACTCAGCTTTGAATAAAGATATTCCAATTTTGACAGAATTCTACGCTGCTAGTTGTTTAAATGTATCTGTTACAGCTAATATCCGAAATCCGTTATTATGCATAATAACTAGACATTTTAGGAATTATGCGTAATAACTAAACTTGTCAGTTATTATGCGTAATAACTGAAATTTTCAGTTATTATGCATAATAACGGAAACGTTTAGGTAATATTGATAATAACTAACAGAGGAACAGGAATTATGCATAATATTTTCAAAAAAGCTACCCACCCTGCCTCCCTTTCCCCTACATATCACATGTACAGTTGATTTAAAAAAAAACGGGACAAATTACAGTAACAGAAACGTCATATTCCCATTGCTTTTCATTGATCTATGAGAACCTGAATTGCTCATCTTGTCCCGTTTTTTGTAAAATCAGCTATTATGCATAATTCCTATTCCTCTGTTAGTTATTATCAATATTACCTAAACGTTTCCGTTATTATGCATAATAACTGAAAATTTCAGTTATTACGCATAATAGCTGACAAGTTTAGTTATTACGCATAATTCCTAAAATGTCTAGTTATTATGCATAATAACGGATTTCGGATATTAGCTGTAACATATCCATACTTACTAATTTTGTAAGCATTGTTAATATATATTTTAAGAAAATTAAGCAATTAAGCACCGCCTCCCGGCTCACGACGAATAAAAAAATTCGTCACAATGGAGATGGGAGCGTGTGGGCGGGGCTTATGTTTTGCATTTTTCCTTAGTCTTCTTTTTGCAACAAAAAACTTAAAACATATTTGGTAAATTTTTGTAAATAAATCTGGACTTGGTATTTAAGCTCCACCTCTCAACCTGATAACAAAGTAAAGTTCATCACAATTGAGACACGGGCGGGTGGGTGGGGCTTAATCATTGGCTTCTCTTTCTTAATGTATATAGTTTTCTGTATCTTATTGATGAAAGAAAATTATGTATATTACGAAAATCAAGCCAATGGATAAGCCCCACCCACCCACCCCCATCACAATTGTGATAAATTTTTCATTTGTTGTCAGATCGAGGGGTGGAACTTAATATTGTAAAATTTCTCGACAAAAATTTAGCATTTAAAAATATTTTACGTTTCTTGTTGTGAAAAGATGATAAGACATTTTAAGAAAAACGAGGTAAAATGTAAGCCCCACCCACCCACCCACCCCTATTTCAATTGTGATGACTTTTTTTTTATTCGTCGCCAGATCCCCCATCTGGCGACGCCCCCCGCGAAGTTTAATTGCAAAATCTCTATTTCTTTACAAGAAATGACCATGTGAAACATCACCAGGGTTGCCAGATCTATCGATTAGAGTATAGTAGGTTTTTTCTTCTCTCTTTTGATAATTTCTTATACTTTTCAGAAAATAAGAATTTTTATTCCCTATTTTTTCTCAAAATAGTCTATTTTCAAAAAATATCATATCTCAAACACATTTCATTTGATAATTTCTTGTATAGAAATCTCAAATCTCAATCGAGAGAGAGGAGTTCGTAATTAAGCTCCGCTCCCGTCTTACTACGAATATAAAAATTGATCACAAGAAATGAGGGCGGGGGGCATGTTTAATGTGGTAATTTCTTGTAGAGAAATATGAAGTTTGTAAATAAGCTCCGCCCCCATCGCACGACGAATAAAAGAATTATATTAAGAGAAAGTCAATGGATGAGCCCCACCCACCCTCCCCTGTCTAAATTGTGATAAATTTTCCATTTGTTGTTAGATCGAGGAGTGGAGCTTAATATTGTAAGATCTATATTTCTCGACAAAAATTTAGCATTTTACGTTTCTTGTTGTGAGAAGATGATAACGCATTTTAAGAAAAACAAGGTAAAATATAAGCCCCACCCACCCACCCCTATTTCAATTGTGATGATTTTTTTTATTCGTCGCCAGATAGGGGCGGAGTTTAATTACAAAATCTCTATTTCTTTACAAGAAATGACCATGTGAAATGTCACCAGGGTTGCCAGATCTATCGATTAGAGTATATTAGATTTTTTCTTCCCCCTTTTGATAATTTCTTGTACTTTTCAGAAAATAAGAATTTTTATTCCCTATTTTTTCTCAAAATAGTCTATTTTCAAAAAATATCGTACCTCAAACACATTTCATTTGATAATTTCTTGTGTAGAAATATTGAGTTCGTAATTAGGCTCCGCCCCCATCGCACGACAAATAAAAAAATTAATCGCAATGGAGACGGGGCGGGTGGGCGGGGCTTATATTCAGCCTTTTTCTTTAATATACATAGTCTTTTTTGCACTACGAAGCCCTTCAAACATTTAAGAAAGGTAAATTTTTGTAAACAAGCATGGATTTTGCAATTAAGCTCCGCCCCTCGATCTGACAGCAAATGAAGAAGTCACCACAATTGAGATTGGGATAGGTGGGTGGTTTTGTGGGGCTTTACAAGAAATTACCTTGTGAAATGTCACCAGTGTTGCCAGATCTAAAGATGTTTTAAGTTTCTTGTTGTGAGAACGCATATTGAAAAAAAAAAAAGGAAAAATATAAGCCCCACCCACCCGCCCCTATTGCAATTGTGATGAATTTTTCTATTTGTCGTTAACTGAGGGGTGGACGTTAATTGCAAAATCCCTGCTTCTTTACCGGGTTGCCAGATCTACAGATTACAGTACACTGGTTTTTTTCTTTCTCTTTCCATATCTCCTTGTATTTTTGGAAAAATAAAAATATTTATTCCCTATTTTTTCTCTAAGTAGTGTATTTTCAACAATACGATCAGGTTTCACTTGATAATTTCTTGTACAGAAATATGGACTTTGTAAATAAGCTCCGCCCCCATCGCACGACGAATAAAAGAATTATATTACGAGAAAGTCAATGGATGAGCCCCACCCACCCGCCCCTGTCTCAATTGTGATGAATTTTTCATTTGTTGTCAGATCGAGGGGTGGAGCTTAATATTGTAAAATCTATATTTCTCGACAAAAATTTAGCAGTAAAAGATGTTTTAAGTTTCTTGTTGTGAGAAGTTGACAACACATGTTAAAAAGAAGGAAAAATATAAGCCCCACCCACCCGCTCCTATTTCAATTGTGATGATTTTTTCTATTCGTCGTTAACTGAGGGGTGGACGTTAATTGCAAAATCCCTGCTTCTTTACCGGGTTGCCAGATCTACCGATTACAGTACACTGGTTTTTTTCTTTCTCTTTCCATATCTCCTTGTATTTTTGGAAAAATAAAAATATTTATTTCCTATTTTTTCTCAAAATAGTCTATTTTCAACAATATGATACCTCAAACATATTTCACTTGATAATTTCTTGTATAGAAATATGGAATTCGTAATTAAGCTCCGCCCCCGTCTTACTACGAATATAAAAATTGATCACAAGAAATGAGGGCGGGGGGCATGTTTAATGTGGTAATTTCTTGTAGAGAAATATGAACTTTGTAAATAAGCTCCGCCCCCATCGCACGACGAATAAAAGAATTATATTACGAGAAAGTCAATAGAATTGTCTCAATTGTGACAAATTTTTCATTTGTTGTCAGATCGAGGGGTGGAGCTTAATATTGTAAAATCTATATTTCTCGACAAAAATTTACCAGTAAAAGATGTTTTAAGTTTCTTGTTGTGAGAAGCTGACAACACCTGTTAAAAAGAAGGAAAAATATAAGCCCCACCCACCCTCCCCTATTTCAATTGTGATGAATTTTTCTATTTGTCGTTAACTGAGGGGTGGACGTTAATTGCAAAATCCCTGCTTCTTTACCGGGTTGCCAGATCTACCGATTACAATACACTGTTTTTTTTCTTTCTCTTTCCATATCTCCTTGTATTTTTGGAAAAATAAAAATATTTATTCCCTATTTTTTCTCAAAGTAGTGTATTTTCAACAATACGATCAGGTTTCACTTGATAATTTCTTGTACAGAAATATGGACTTTGTAAATAAGCTCCGCCCCCATCGTACGACGAATAAAAGAATTCTATTACGAGGAAATCAATGGATGAGCCCCACCCACCCGCCCCTGTCTCAATTGTGATGAATTTTTCATTTGTTGTCAGATCGAGGGGTGGAGCTTAATATTGTAAAACCTATATTTCTCGACAAAAATTTAGCAGTAAATGATGTTTTAAGTTTCTTGTTGTGAGAAGTTGACAACACATGTTAAAAAGAAGGAAA